ACGAACCGGACGTTCCGTGGTATGAACCCAACCTCAGCACCCTGACATCCCTGTACAGCCTTGGGCAAACTAACCGCAGCCTCTTTCTGTTGGCACTGCAGCTAGGCAGCAAAAGATGCTACAAGTGAACGATTTTTCGACTTCAAATTATCCATCATGCAGGGAGTTCGTTTCATCTTTAAATCGGACGGGCTTTTGATAGACCACTATCAAACGGAATTAGTTACGCTCACTTCTCACTCCCTGCGTTTAAGCTGATTTAGGTATCTCTTCAGCCCCCAACACAAACCAAACCATTCGCAACAATTTCGACAGTCCGGTCGTTTACCCCAACAACTCTGAATATGCATTACTATTGATCGACCAGGATTCCGGGCCGAACTCGCTTTGTGTTGCGCACTCCACAGATTCGGGTTATCAGCTGTGCGCAAAACATGCTCCAGCACTGACGTGTTGGACATATAATTTGAAAAGTTTATAACGCATTCACGTTTCGAATCAAAGTATGCGCGCCTGCAAATATGGACTTATAGAATATCACTTCCGTCTTACCTAATGGGTTTGGGGGACTCCATCCCCAAATAATATCACACCATTCAATCAGAACATTACACAAGTTTTTCAGATCACGATGCTTTCAAATTTACTTCGCGTTGCCTTTCCTATAAAGGTGCTTCGCGGTTTTTAAGGCCTGGTCCCTAGGAAAGGTGAATCATCAAGGTGTAATAAACTACTCATCGTCTAGCCTAAAATTCTTCTATGGCCCACAGCCGGTCTCGCCCTTTCTGGGGATCATCAGGTAAACTCAGTCGGGTGTTTTGGAAAGTGTGTCTCACCTCCGGATGATTGGTATAAAAGACTCACTCTCCTTGCTTACTCTTTTTGGTTGGATGACAACCTTCCCGCTTTATTTTATTTAGTTCTATATCTACGATGAGATAGTTGACGATGAATTCTTGCTGTACGACCACACCTTTCACGCTAAACTTACACAACCTTGAGTGGGATACATGATTTCAAAAGTGCCTCACTCTTTGTCTTTTTTTAGCATTCCACCAGTGATTGAAGGACAATTTGGCTACCAGTCGGTTCCATCAATTCATCTTTCACGTATTTTAGAACCTCTCTCTGGTCGACTGAAACGTCCGTGACAACATGTTCACTCTGACTGTTCATGATTAACACATGGGCAAACACAACATGAAGACTGAAGAACAAGAGCCAAAGCAATGCAAATCATGGACGGCATTCCAAGTTTTCACGGACCTTGGTTTAGCTCACTCTAAACCAAACACTTGAAAACCGTTTTCAATTATAAAATGCAGTTTTCTTTGCTGGAACTTAGAGAGTAAAGTGGGTAAGTTTTTTCCTCCACACAAATATCTGTGCTTGTTAACAGGTGAACTAAACTAGCCAAAAGGGACAATATAGCCGCAAGTTTGACATACTGTGTTTTAGATTAGATGCTCACCCTCAGTCAGAAAGTTGGTCAATTCCAGACCCTCGTTTTTTTCTTTCACAAAACATTTCAATGATACGACTTCACAGGCAATTTAGTCTTTGAAATATCGTTCACTAACAACAACTGGCTATTGAATCTTCAACATATTGTGCACCCGACCCCAGTTGTAAATAGTTGACTAATGTATGTGTATCATTTCTATAAAATACCTTTTTTATCTTTGTTCCTTTATTCGATCCCAAGCTATCCCATTTTCTAACTGCTTCCGTTCAGGATTGAACACCCTGGAAGTGTCCCTGCAATCGTGCCTCTCTTTCTCTTGGCACTGCAGCTCGGAACCGAAAAAAGCTGCAGCTGATTGAATTTTCCACTCCAGATTATTCAGGAAGCAAGGTGTTTAATTCATTTTCAAATCAAACGTGCTTTCGATAGACCACTATGGAACTAATTTAATTGCGCTCACCTACAACTTCTAAGGGTAAGCTGTTTTAGGTATCACTTCCGCCTATACAAACCAAACCATACGCAACAACTTCGACAACCAGCTCGCTTACCCGTGTTTAAAAAGGAATTACCATTGACCGACCCCGATTCCCCGCTAAACTCGTTTTATGTTGTGCACTCGACAGACTCGGGTTGTTCAGCCATGCGTAAAACATGCTGCAGCACTTAGGTGTTTGGTCTGGAACATATAATTTAAAAACTTTCTAACCGCTTTATATCTCGAATCAAAGTATGCGCACTTGCAAATTTTGACAGAGTCGGTTTCCAGGACTCCATCTCCGCACTACCACCGAAATATTACATAAACCTTGGAGATCATAATGCTTTCAAATTCATTTTGCACAGCTTTTCCTCTAAACACGACCGGCTTCGCACTCCTTGGGGCTCGGCAGGTACACTCGGTGTGGTTTTCTGAAAATTCTCCCACCCCAGGATGGTTAGTATAAAAGGCTCGTTCTCCTTGTTCGCCACTTTTAATTAGGCGACAATATTCCCGCTTTATTATATTTACTTCGATACCTACCATGAGGTATTTGACGATGAAATTGGGGAAACACTCATGTTCGTCATTGTCTTCTTGTTGTACGACCACACACGTCACGCTACAAATTACATCAACTTGAGTGGGATTCATGTTTTTATCGGTGCCTCACGGCTTGTGTTTTTCTTGGGCATGTCCATCAGTAATTGATGGATATTCTGGCTACCCGTCGGTTACACAAAGTCATCTTTCACGTATTTTCGAACCGTTCTCTTGTCCACTGAAGCATACGTGCAGAAAGGCCCACTGTGATTGTCCATGACAAACATGGGCCATCACGAAAGGAGGACCGGTGGATAAGGAATGAAGCAATGCAAATCATTGAGGGTATTCCAAGTTTCCGAAGACTATGGTTGAGCTCAGTCTAAACCAATTAGTTGAGAACTATTTGCAATTATAAATAAAAGCTCGCTTGGCTGGAACTTGGAGATTTAATTAGATATGTACTTTACCCCACAAGAATATCTGCACGTTTTCAAAAGCAAAATAAACTAGCCAAAGAGGACATTCAAGCCGCAAGTGTGGCATATTTTGCTTCAGATTAGTAGCTCACTCGCGGTCAGAAACGTGATCGACTCGTTAGATTTTCCACAGAACATTTCAATGATACGAATTCAATCTAAACTTTGAAACACTGCGCTAAAGCGACATCCGCTGCAATCACCCGTGATTTAAGGTACTGTTGCGATGATTTGCAAGAAAAACTCATGAAAGCTATTCATGGTGCTAATGATTTGGTCATACGCGACACGAAATTTACTTTAAATATTTAGAGATAGCTGCGAAATCAGCCAACTAAATTTCAGGCAACTACCCCAGAACCATTCTGCTATCAGCTAACCAACGCAGGGTGGTTCAAACATCAAGATGAAATTCAGTACTGCGGCATACAAATTAAGTGCTTTCTGCATGTATGAATTAGCGGAGCTTTGACTGCACGGACAACGCAATGGTTGACCCAAAAGCCGCTTAGGACTCAGACCATCATTCTGCTTAGTAAACGGTGGGTGACTGTGAGCAATCTATTCACCTCCAAAACAAAAAGTTAATTGAAAATGTTCATTTCATATTGGTGTGAAGTTACTCAGGTGCCCAAGAAAGTCATCAAAATTACCGTTTCTAAATAAAACACACTGGTAGCCCCTAAAGCGAATCTCTAGCTGCACACTATATTAACTGCTCCAACGTGATCTCAAAATCAATACATGTAATTCGTGAATCCAGATATTCTGGCACAAAGATGCCTTAAGTAATTCCTTGCACATTCTGCTTCAATCTGACGTCTTTCAGCCTTTCCACAAGCACTGTACGAAGGTCCATACTTGCAACATCAGCACGCTTACAGTTGAAGAGAATAGAAAGTGATCTAACGGTCAAATTCACAAATGCTCTTCAGTGCGAAACTCAAAGACAGATGAATTGACTGCCCCTACCTTGCAATTTAGCTGTTACACACGATTTCCAGGTCACAGTTATTATACAAGCACTGTGAGAATATCCATAAATGCAGCGTTTGAACGCTCGCCTTCACACAGAACAAAAATTGATCTTAATGTCAAATCCACAGGTGAGAACCTAAAAGACATATGCCAACCACCGACACCGCACAGTCCGGATGCTACGCACGATTTGCAATTTGATAAAATACCCGTCAAAAGTCATTAGCCACCGAATGCTCAAGACACCCGTTGGCCAGTGTAGTAGGCGTGCATTGGTGTCACTAAGACAAGTCGTTATTTCACGAGTAGGAATCGCGGTTGAATTCATACATAACGTGGAACATAAGTGGCACTAAAAAATATTCTGCTTAATTTCTCTTATTGTGTCTGATATTAAACTGAGACTAAAAGCAAAGGAATAAACCAGGGGAGTTCAGCAACAAAACGCTCAACACGGAGTTCAGTAATCTACACAGACAAAGGTGTTTAGTCTCCGTGGAGGTAAAATCACTTCGCGTTTGTTCATGCGGTTAGGCGTGCAAGGATATTCATCTAAAAAGTCACATCTACTCAGTGAGGGCACCATAAAAAGCATTGAAGCTTACGTTGCTCAGAACAAAAATTAAACCATTTATCAAACGAAGTAATTTGCATTTATGACTTGCCAAGTGAAATGGTGGTTTTAGTTTAATTCCAAAAGTTATCAGTCCTGAGTGATGGCATGCACATTAAGTTTGAATTGAATCACAAGCTCACATATTTTGGTGATATGTCCGACACACAGTGGACCATTGTTTCGCGTGGCATCTTCAGCATGCATGATATAGATGACGTCTTGCACCTGGGTTTGCAATATGATGGGGTTTGTAGCAACTGTAGAGCAAAAACCCTTAAACCACAAAAAATAGCTTTCATATTTTCCATGTAAATAGTTCCATTTTGGAAGATAACTGATCTGTGGCGTGCCTTAGAAATAAAGCTATGTAACTTACACAAAGGACTGAGCAAGACTTGACGCACTTTGTAACTTGTTTGACACGGTTCTGACATACTTTTCGCCACAGATGTATATTTCGGTGCATGAAATAATCTTCTGATATTTTGTGACCAAATCAGCAAAACTGGTGATACCCTGTGAAAGAAATATAAAGAAGGCGTTACACCATGCAAATGCAGTTCCACACATAGTATTAGCCGAACAAACGCATCGGGGTATTGTTTACATCCAAGCATCCAATAGTGTGGATATTGTGAAGGAAGTGTTTTTCTTTGAACGCGTGGTTTTTTTGCTTAGTTTTGAAAGATATTCATTTACCTTGAACATTTTACGGTGCATGACATCTTGGTTCTTCGTTAAATGTCTCTTCTCAGCTCACTACAATTTTTAGTAAATGATATGATTTCTTGCATCTCCAAAGAAGACCATGATTTCTTCAAAATGCGGTAACAGATGCAGTTGAAGTGAAGCCTAAGCGGCAAACATCCCAGGTGTGAGGGAGAACAAACACTTCTAAAATATCCTCATGTTCATTGGAAAAGCTGCTTACTGGATAGACTCCTGGCTACACCTATCTCGTGGTGTACTGATTGTACACATTTTGAATAATTTAGTAGATGTAATGGTAAACTATGACAACACAGGCCATTTTATTCTCCTGTTTTGTAGAAACAATTCCCAAAGAGAACCTAGGAAAATATTAGCCATCAGAAGTTTCCGCAATCTTCTGCATACGTCGGAAGACGAGAATAATACTTACCGTTTACAAAGACATTTTCACCTACTATTCACGTACTACGTGTAAATAGTGAGTGTAATGTTGTGAAATAATTCAGGGCAAAGCGTCTTGGACGCCTCTTGGTATCAGTAAAGTGGAAGGCGGCTGAAATGAAAAGCTTCCAGAAGTGATATCATTTTATTTCGTAAACTAACCAACCCGAATCTGGAAATGATCGACTCTGATCCCTTCCATTGGCGTCCGGAAGATAATAAAACTGTCCAATACCAGGAATGAATATTGACTCCGTGTTTTAAAATCAGAAAGCATGAAAATGCACGAAATCGCACTTTTCCGTCAAAAATTTTAGCCCGGCGGTAGTGACCCCAGACAGGTGAGACAAAAAAATCCATAAAGTCGTTTTAAGCTGCATCTGATTAAATAAGCATAAGTATTTCTCAAGTGCGTAATGGACCCCTTACCTAGAATTTCTTTAGTTAGGAATATTAATTGTCAGTCAATGCACTTCCGCTCGTAAATTCCGATTAGTCATAAAACAAATGATTTAATAACTCCGCCTGATTAATCAACACCATCAAGAACCTTTTCCAGATGTATGACCAGCATCTTCGAAACAACTAATTCTTAGTACAGGAATGTTCCTGCTTGGGCGATTAATGCTGAACCGGANATTACATTACATATATTACATAATCACCCTGATATCTGGGATAAAACTGCAGGTTTTCAGAAGTATTCTTCAACATGTTCTTCTGAAAAACGTCAATCCAATCTGCACTTTAGAATTGATTCGCAATCTAGCAAAGTTGAGATTGAGATAGGTGATGGTGGCCTCGTACGTTGACAATCATCTGATTCGATATCCTTCGGGAGAAATTCAAGTTCACCAAGTTTATTGCGCTAAAATTTCTTCCCAATTCCACGTGACATTCATGCGCGAATTCAGACGCACTAATTAATTACGTCAGAAGTTTGCTGGTCAAAATTACGAGAAGATCTCAACGCTGCTGTTAAAATGGAAGAGTTATGATTTTTGCACTGACAAGTCTAGTACTTCGCGTTTGTCCGGTTTTCAGAACCGCATACTTGAAAATCCAGATGAGTACCTTTCATCTCAAGGAATGACGCGTATCATACCTGGCATCGTCTATTACATCCAACCAAATTTTGATAACGTTTGAGCTGGTGTAAAGATCTGATTGCACACAGCTTGTACGCAGCAAACCCAGGATTTGACTAGCAATGCGGTTAATGGTGCCTCATTACCATCTGAGCTGTGCTCATTTGCCCAGGACAAAAACTAATAAAATCACTTCGTTTTTTACAAACAAATCCAAATGTTCTTCATCTTTAATCAAGCCGGATTAGAATTCGTGCACCAAGTCTGCATACGTGTTTTTTCTACGTGTCCAATCTTTCCAGACCAATGTAGTTTGTTCATGGTCACACCACTTTCGTTTGAACGATCGTCTTCCTGTTCTGCCGTAATTAATTATTCCGGTGAGTTCACACCAAAGAGAAGCACTGAACTTGAGTTTGGCTCTTATTAGAGCTCATCAGCGGTGCATATCCAATGACCGTGTTGGGTTTGAACCCCGAACATCTGACATGCGAGGCGAGCGTGCAACCACTACTCCACCAACGCTGGCTAATGTTTTGTATGTGTAAGACTTCTTTATCGACCTGCCCGAAATAACAAGCTTATATCATAGCAGTGGGACACCCCAGCGTGACAAAACAAAAGAGGTGCATGTAAGCCACATGCTCAGATTCCAAACGACCTGTTCTGGTTGTATGGCGACGCAATTCCGGATAAAGGGAGGAGGCTGGTGAATCGAACGAGGTTATCCTGGGGTCAAAAATAGACTGATATAACTTTGTTACTTTCAAATGAAATCTGCAGGTGGACAAATTCCTAATCGATTTTTGTATTCGCACCATTGAAGACCAAACAGCTGACGGCAAGAGTTTCAGCCGATTCTGGATCTGGTTATTGGGTTGTACGATGAAGGTCGTAGAATTCAAATAGTGAGTTTACAGCTTATGCAAGAAGAAATGGGAGTTCAGTTTGCTTTGTTATCTCAGGACTTAACTCACTCTTCACTGAAACAATCTTCAGAAAAGTTCTTCATTTTTGGATTTTAGGTTATCACTTTTGATTTAAACAATAAACACAAGCGAAATACCGAAGGAAATAGTCGAAACGTTAGAGCGAAAATTGCAAACCCGGCAAAATAAGGGAAGCTGCTCTAAGAAAGAAGCTTCTAGAGACAGGAAAGAATATTTGTCACCAACAAGCAGCGTGAGGGAACAGTAAGAAGACACAACCAAGATATTTGTATAAAAATGAGAAGTAAATCGAAATACGTTAAAAACGGTAAAAAATAATGAAGAATTTAAGAGGAAAATATCAAAGCGGACAGAATTCGAACCGGGAAATTGGGAAGAAAATGCAAACTGTTGCAGGAAAAACGGAGGAATGGTGAAGCAAAAGTTGCATATCTGGCGAAATAAGAAGGACTGCGCAAGAAAACATAGACAATGAAGGAAAATGAGGAAAGCAAACAAAATAAGAAAATTATCGGAAACGGAAAACCGCAAGATCAGCCTGAGACGAACAAGAGCAAAATAACAAACATTCCATCTATCAGTCCTATACATACATCGTTCGGCGAACAAAGTTCAATTCAATTGGGTTTCTTTGCAAACGAACGGCTGCGATCACCTGAAATGGCGCTAGAGGCTAGTATTCGAAAACCCAAAATTTTAGCGCTCATTTCAAATGTTCAGAACACCCCTCACAATCTGTATTTAGCCATTTGAGCACGCAGGATTTGCGTGCAAATTAGAAATGGTTCAGCCTAACTGTGCGTCTCAAAATAACGATCACACACAGACACACATACACTCACAAGGTCCTCCGAGAGTCTGAGAGCAGGTCATTGCCGCGCACACGTGGCAGCCCAATTTGACCTATCTAACTGACAAGTTTCTCCGAACTCGGTGGGTTACGTTGAGCCTTGGTGAACGGACGGGCACGGGACTGACATAAGGGAAGCAGAAGAAGCGATCAGTGAGAACAAAACGGCGGGTGAGCGAAAAACGTATTGCGCAAACGGACTGCGAGTCCCGGGAATCGAACTCGGATCGACAACTTGGAAGGCTTCTATGATAACCATTACACCAGCCTCGCACATTTGCAAGGGCTCACGAAATCCGTTACCCAATCGTCCCAATCACCCAAGCTCCTTACCACGTCCGGTCATTATTATGTTCGTAGGAAGATGTTTTTTACAGACTAATGAGTATTTTGGACAGCTGTTGATTTTCGATCTTGAGTTGAAAATATCGACAACGGTGATGATTTCACATACCAGTTGTATGCATACGTCGTAGGGGCATGGGAAGTAGGATAAGTCAGGTTTCTATGCCGAAGGTAGGATACAATCCGCTGCATGGACGCGGGGAGCTATTTCGCCAGGATGAAATTATCGGCGTGCTTTGAAATCTTCCTTTCAGCATCAACCAATGGAAATGGGTAGTTAGCCAATATCTTTGATGTAAACTCACTACTGAAAGAATCCTTAGTAATGCAAATTAAACGGGGAAAGAGACGTTTCCAATTGAGGACAAAAATCAGAGGTAATGGTGTTTATCTACCCAAGCGAAATGGTACCTAGCATCAGTAAAGATGATTTTATCCGATTTGCGGCTTGTAAATCGAACCTAATTGAATTATTTATAGAAAAACATCAACTGAACATTTGGGGAATATTGGACAGGGGAACAAAATACTCACATGCATTTTGTTCATAAAAAGTGAATATTTATGTTCTTCTCGAACGCCTCTTCTGAGCCTTCTTGTTTATTCATTCACTATCATTCAAGTATAAACGTAGGCTACGAAGCGATTACACAAATTACCTAATAAATGTTACCTTTCTTTATACGCGTAGCTGACCTATCAATAAACAACATACTACTCGCATACTTCATTAGTATTATCCAACGCTACGCAACGTCCGTTTTTAAAGGTCGTTCCCCTGCCACCTATTTTATAAAATGAAAACGAATGCTTCCGTGAATATTGGCTAGTATTTGTTTCCAAGTTTATAAACAACAGAGGCCGCGATGATGTTGTAAGCGGGGTGCTTGGGTATTAGAACTGACAATGAATTGCGTACCACATGAATCCGAAAAAACGATAAACTTTACAATTACTTTAAATGGTTAGTTGATTGTGTGATGTTCGTTGCCTTCTTCGATGAGAACACTTTTGGATTCAAAAACATCATGGAATGCTGCACATTGCTGAACCTTACTAAAAAGAGCATTGTAATAATTAGCAATAATTAAGTATAAAACAACAGAAACGACAATAAGCACATCAGCTATATCTACTTGAGTGAATTCCAATCAAACAATTTTTAATTTAAACTTAGTCCTCATTATACTGCACAACATTTGGTTCAGCCATCTTCATGCAGATGTTAGCTGAGAATATTCTTTAACATCCATGGAATTTCTACTCAAATATTTACCACGAATAATCATGGAATTACAAGTAAAATTTACTGCCCCAATCACTGCACGCAATCGATTGGATGTCTAAGAGGACATGAGGTTCTTTTCACCTTGATTTATAAGGCATAAAAATATCACATAAAACCACCAAAGGATTTTTAATTGATTCCAGGCAAGTAATTTTGTGCTTTTAAAAGATCAGCTACTCTCAATGGTTCCCCGGGCATCAGCAAAGTTATACATAATCGCCGCATTCAGCATTCGGTGAATTTGACATCTAAAAATTTCATGGGGCCGATAGGAAGATATTACATATCAAGGAAGGTAACGCAGTCGCAGACAAATATATACGCGTTGCATATGAGACCAAGAATGATTATGACAAGCATGATTCATGAGGAAGGACTATCTGAACAGCTACAGTTTTCGTTGAGAGGAGTCCATATTACTCCAAACTTTCAAAAGAATAAGTTTGAAACTGATCAATATGTATATGTGCTTGACGCATTTGTCGAAAAATGTAGCAATGTCAACCTCTGAGGGAAACAGTTGTTAGGCAGAAATTCCACATGGAAATACACTACATTTAAACGAGCTCTATTCCAATACAGTTTGCATCGCCGGAACATTGGCCCATAGGTCATTGTTGACCTAAACGATTGTCCAATTGCGCCTCCGATGCGACCCTCAAGTTTTGATCCTCTTCCGTTTGGTGAGGAGACCTTTATGCATTGACACATCTTTCAACGCCCTCTGAAACGTTCGATACGACGGACCGTCGTAAAACTTTCAGTGATCAGCAGCGACTAACTGCAGTTAAAATAGCCAGCTTTCTATTGATACAAAAACTTCATTTTCCCAAGCGCATTTGTTCATTATAGAGTATACAAATGCGCTCGGGACAATGAAGCAATGGGCACCAGTACGTTTCTACAAAAGCTCACGTCAACCGGTGAACAAAACGATATCCCTGTCATCAAATTTGCTGCTTGGAAACTTACCCACGATTTCGATCAGTATACATTTCCATTAGTAATTATCCAGTAAAAAAATTATCACACCTTCCTCGCGGGCTTTGTCTGTAGTTTATTTTATGCGTGGGTACAAATCATGTCGTTGAACATTGTGGTCAGCGGAACGTAAGACCAATGAGGATTAAGGTCACAAAAATGTCTCTGTTTGTCATGTATAATGGGGCGTGATTCGTATCCACTAATTTATTCCTATGATTATTTTTCCTCACTCCACCGTGTGAATCATAGATATAAATTATGCCAGCAAAATCAACTTGACAGGATTCGTTTCAAATTGGAAAACGGTGGATGATGTTAACAAGAAAATCACATTTTTCATTCACACAGTTTATGAAACTTGAGGTTAGTTACCTATATTCCGTGTGAGTATCTCATCACAGAACAACATCCATGGCGCTACTGAATGCGTTGTAGCTACGCCGTGATTGCCAGGATTATTTGCTTTGTTTCCAACAACCCATGTGTCTATGCTCACATAACGTAAGCCAAACATTTGTAGTGTAAAAGTTGCAATATTCGGTTTGGCGTGTGTCACAACCACAAAATTTAATTGCACATAATTATCATGCACAGCACCACTGTATATGCTTAGTTCACATGTGTAAACTGCGTTTTCGTTTTATTCGATTGTGTGTTACCGGGAATTACTAGATTTCTCAGATACGCGTTGTGGACTACACGACCGGTGGATGTGCTAAGAAAATGATAGCGCTTGAGTTTGCTACCAAGCAGTTCGGTGCCGAAAATTTTGCAATTTTTTCGGCCAGTCCAATTTTAGAAAACAAGAAAAATCGGTTTATTCAATTTTATGTTGTTTCACTATTTCCGTTCTCTATCCGCACCATTAAGGAACCTTGAATGGGATGTTAGGTCGACGTTTACAAAATTTACCTTTGATGATTCATGGTTCAACTGGCTCACAAATAAAAAAAACGCAAGCGCAATATTTGACCTTTTAAATCTTGGAATACCTTTACTTTCCCCCTAATGTTATAACCATTTTTCCCTCTTTTATCAATTGAAATCGGATTAGCGCCTTCTCGTCCAACATCGACGAATTCAGAATTCGCGATGTTCATGAATGTAACGACATCAATTGAAATCGGATTAGCGCCTTCTCGTCCAACATCGACGAATTCAGAATTCGCGATGTTCATGAATGTAACGACCGATACTTCGGAACATGGTGTGTTTCTGTAAGCCTTATTTACGTAAGCCACTGTTTACATAATTCATAACGGAATACTGAAGCAGTCATCCCAAGCGAACTTAAACCTGTTGGCCTGGAGACATTAATATAATTTTTCTAAATAAAAAGTGTGCACAACCGCAAATTGCTATTATTTATAATTCATTGCCAGAAAACATGTCGGCCCCATGAAACGTCTGGTTGTCGGGCAAGGGTGCTTTCACGTTAATCATCAACGCACGCTCACGTATTAAATGAAACACACTATGAAATACGAAATTTCGGGAAATTCGTCACTGAAAATTGACTGCGGTCAAAACGCTACAACTTTCAATGATCCCGAAAGTCAGTTATAATTTCTGGAGTGTGCAAAAAATACAAATGACGTGTTTATCTCATAATGCGTCACCGCACTGCGTTTTGCGCAGATGCCTTGGTTTCCGTTCTTCATGAGAGTGTTCACTCTCAAATGCCTGTCACCAGTTTTCTAAAAAGCAAAAAAATTCATGCGTTCATTTCGTTATTGGCAACGTTGTTATTCAAGGGTGTGATCAACGGTTTGCATTTAAGTCTTTTTTGACAGTTGAGAATTTCCCCTACACGTAGACGTTGGCTGCGTCGTTTTAAAATTAACAAAACAAGTCGGTCTTGTAGTAGCGCAATAGCGGCTTTCTCATATATCTCCAAACAGATTTTAGCAGGTGGTATCCAAATTTAGGAGAAATCGCTTGTAGAAATGGTTTGCGCCGGAGAAAGGAACATAGATTTCGGGGGATATACTGAGAGCGTTTGGCTGATCGGACGTCCACACTTGCTCGGGCGGCGAGTTCGATTGACCGTTACAGTCAGAAGCGTTCGGCAGACATGATCCTCGGGCGAACACTCCGGATATTGGAAGGAGACAGTATTTCACAAATCAATCACCTCATTGGAGTGACACAAAAGTCAGTATGTTGCGCGAATAATTTTGATGTCCGCGAATAACAGGGTGTAAGCGGGTGTAGAAAGCCGTTCAATTATCACCCGCAGGAATTCTGAATAAGATGTGCGTTCTGTTGTAGAATAAATTTGGTAAAATAAAACCACTAAAATACTTCAACAGTTTTTCAGATTGTTTAGATTCACATACGATTTATGTTCCCACTGCTTTATCCTCAACGAGGCAAAAATACCCCTATCTGACTGATATTAGGGTTCTAAAATACTTCAACAGTTTTTCAGATTGTTTAGATTCACATACGATTTATGTTCCCACTGCTTTATCCTCAACGAGGCAAAAATACCCCTATCTGACTG